AGGAACTCCAAAGTTTAATTACAAAAACATTGTACAGAAAACTTGGCATCTCAACAATTCCAAACACATTAATCCAGCAAATGGATTCTGTTTTCACGTATTTCTCTGAACATTTCTCTAAGTGACAAAAGCATTTTATCCCACTCTTCTCCTTGACACCCACTTCATTTTTTATTTTTTTTTAATTAGCCAACACTGAAAAATGTAAACTCAAGTGACACTCAAAACACTGGAAAGACAAAATCCATTTTATATGGTTAATCGATGTAAATAAGAAGCTTCTTAATGAGACAAAACATCATCTGTCACATCATTGGTGAGCAAGAACTTAGTCTTCCCCCAGATGCTTTAAGATAGGTATACCACCTCCCTTCCCACCTCATGGGAAAAAAGCAAGAGATCTGTCAACCCCCAGCTAATATCATCATCTTAAGTTTCCTATCCCATAATACTTGCATGCTATTCAACAGAATGATGTATTAGCAGTACATCACAAGCCGATAGCTGCATTGAATTTACGTAAGCAGAGGCAGTCTGCATACCTTACTTAGGGTATGTGTGTGTCACAGCCTGGAATCACATCCTACTACCATACTGTATACCAATTTCTGGAGTCTTTATGGGATACAACTCCAGGTTTTATGCAAGATGCCACAGGCTGAACTTTAGAATTTTGGCTATGCAGTGCATTTTGGCCACTTCAATAAAAGTCAAATTTCACCAATTCTGAAAACCAAGATACACACAGGAGATGAAGGTATCAGTGCTTCTTCTGGAGATATTATTACCCTGTAGGACTTTTTCCCAAGCACAATATTTGTTACAGAATGCACTAAAAAGTTGATGCCAACATCTGTTGGTCTGATCCACGCTAAGGAAAATGGAGGTCAATGCAGCACATTGAGGTTTCTTTTTGTGAAGTCTTGAAAATGAGACTGAAGACGAGAAAGGAGTTTCCTCCCTGAAGGAAGACTTGAATTTACACAGAAATCCTTGCTGCTTGGCTACAGCAATAAGCCCATGAGGAAGCGGAGACCTGACATACAAGGTGCTGACTTGGAGATGGCTTCAGGCAAGCATGAAGTCCATGTGTATAGCATGGGAACAGAGGAAACTGCTTTTTAATCTTCAAATACTTATGTTACAGATACGTTAAAGTGATGCTGACTGCAATGCACTCCAGTAATATAAATCTTTAACTCATAACAGGGAAATCTTCAAGATTTCTTAAGGAGGAGCAAGGACATTGTCACGTGGAAGAAAGAGCATTTCAGCCACTACCATAAAGTCCAGAGATGTCCAACAAGTGCTCAACCAAAGTCTGAATTAACAATTTGACAGGAACCAAAGGGCAGCAAATGATTGGCGTAAGTTAGTGCAGACAGTAGGCGCCTTCATCTTTGACAGGAGGTACAGCGTAGCTCAGCAAGATTACAGACTCGAGCATGCAGAGTTCTACTTGATGTAAGTGAAAGGCCACTTAGGTCACCCTGGAACATCATCTGCTGAATGCTATAGGCTCCACAGGCTGTACTCATAACCATACAAAAGGTGAAAGCACTTACGGGCTGCAATGTAGAATTCTGTGGACTCCTGTGTGGACCCAGCTGCTAAGAACTGTCTCTGCTCTAATAATTCATGCAAAAATACATGCTTCTAGGTATATTCCCAGCACTGTGATTTCAGGAGGGTGGGGGGGGGGGGAACCAATCCCCCTGCCCATTTCTCTTTTTATAGAATGCTGCTCTCATCATGAGATAATTCTCTCAAAAACTGAGCAACATATCAAGAGGAAGGGCAAGCTTTGTGTTTTTAGTCTAAAATGGAGACTCCTATTTTCTCTGCTAATTAAGAACTAACCTTTCACTTTTTATCTTGATTACCACTGACCTCTGTGGTAGTAAAATGCTCCACCATTTTCAAGAGATAACAGGAGATATTCACAGAAGAGCAGGATGCTACATGCGAGAGGTGCTTGAAGAAAAGGGGAAAGAGGAAGTCTGTCTCATAGTAGAACCAATTCACAAAGCACCAACCATAGCCAGTCTCTAGCAGGGAGCAAACTCACATCATAGAAGGTGCAGGCTAACACAAAAACCAGGATTCAGTTTAATAAAAGCTTATATAAACATGGCAGGCAGAGTAGGACAAGACAGTACACCAAGGAAGACGGCCTGTAATAGCAGGGAACACAAGCGCTGCTATCCAGTACTGCAAGTATCAGATAACAAGATCAAAAGAAAAAAACTAAAGTGTAGGAAGGCAATCCCACAAGATAAACATGGAAACAAAATAGAAGACAGTAGGCAATATAACACAAAGTTAGTACTACAGCACATAGGCTGACTTCATTTCACAAACTACGAGATTTCATCTCCATAGTCAGCCAGCCCATGGAATGGATACACCCTCACACCCAGCAAAATTAGTAAGAAACTGAAGATTGCACAAAAGTTGCATGCTCTTAAATGTTTACACAGAGAACAGTTCCAAATGTTTAGTGGGTGGTGTCCGTGGCTTCTTAAGACCTTTCAATGCATTGGTCCGTTTGTCTCACTGACAAACCACAAAGGCAGGGACCAGGACAAACCTGTAATTCTGCCTCCCACCCCTAGTCTTTCCCTCATGGCTTCTTATTCCACACTGGTCAAAAAAATTTTGTAAAGCATCCCTGGGTCACGAGACCTGCAGACGAAACAGAAAAATAAGTGTTAGAAGACTACAATCTGCCAGGAATAAATAGGCACTGTGACATTATTTTGTGGATGGTTTTTCTGAAAACACAATATTAAGAAGAACAGCAAAGAACCCTATAGACAGAACTGTAACTAAATTCCTGTTTCCATCCAAAGAGCGGAGTACTAAATAATGAAAAACTTCCTCTTCTCCCCCATATACTGTCTGTACAAAGAAGTTCTCTTTGCCATGCGTTACAGAAAAACAAAACATTCACTGTTATAGTCAAATAGTGACTAAATGCAATGTACTGAGCCACCAAAAACCACCTCAGTTCTGTGAAGTACAGTGGTTTTCACAAGTATCACAATAAATTGATTTTCCTATGAAATGGATTTGTAACGTGTCTCAAGCTCAAACAGACCATTTGGTTGATGGAGATTACATTTAGGACAATATACTTCATATGCATGTTAACAAAGGGACAATGACACTGACAGTCTGCTGATACAGTTCATCAGATTCCAGCTGAATCTCTCTATCCAAACCTTGCCTCTTTTCTAGGGAAGCCATACTTTTTACTAGGTTTGCACCCAGCAAAGCCTGACCTTCTTCCTTTCTAAGATTTGTAAAAAAATATAATCATTGCCAACTGAACGTCAGTGTAATTAATAGCCCTATGAATTACTTGATCATCATATCCAGTCACATGTTCATATTTATATAATGAAACTAGGTGATTATTAATCACATTTTTAATTGTGTCACGCTGTTTTACTGCTGAAAGGAGGGAAATTACCAGTGGGAGGGTGAAGAAGGAAATAGAGTCCTATTTTTCAACTATGAAGTGGAAGGATGAATTCTAAAGCAAGAACTATTGTTTCCAAACCAACTACAACTGAATCTACTTTATCCAAAAAGAAGATATATGCATTTTTAGGAACACAGAAATTGTCCATCATTTAGGAAATAAGAATCCATCTGACATGAGAACCAAAGTCTAGATTTTAGTAGCCTTGAGATATGTTTTTTCTGGCAAGGTGCTTGAAGGACACATCTGTTTCAGGGCCCGGCATGCCCTTCTAATAACTGATTGATGAGAAACTGCTTTCCCTCATATGTTCTGTAAAACCTCCCATCCCTCGATTCTCTTTCTGAGCTTAAGAGTGTTAATTGAAAACAGTATATGAAAATGAGGAGGTTGATGAGCTACTGAAAAATCCCAGACCTGGATCGACAAGCTGTTCCCTTCATAAATAGCAGCAGCAAAGGCACTTCTTTATTCTGCTGGGAGCTCAGTCATCTCTTAGAACTACAGTCCGTTCCATCTGGCTACCCTCCAGAAGGACAATGATCTTTTTGCTTAAGCTACACTATAATGGGGAACGCGTAATTAACTGTTCTACACAGTATCACAAAAGGTCAGAATCAGAAAAGATGAAAAGCCCTGTCTTCATCTTTGCAGATGGCACAGTGTAGCTTTATTTGCATTTCTAAACACTATTCAAGACATGTACAGTAGATCTCTACATAATAAATGCATAAAGAATCCAGGTATGTAAATAGTTAATTAGGAGTAGGCAAACTCCTAATGGCTGTCTAGTGCTGTGCATCATGGGGGATGTGGGGGAGTAAGTGGTGTGGAAAATGCAAAGAACATAGTAATGCAGAAAGACTGGCATTTCTTTGTTGATTTGTTTTTCTGCTCAGTTCCTTGCTACAGTTTTCTAAGCTGTTAAATAGAAACAAAAACACAGAATCACGAACCCAGTAATAATCTATGCATAAAGTCTCAGCAAATGCTACATACAGCCTGAACCACATATCAGTGCTTCATTTACATGCCAACCTTCATAACCGGAAGAGTTTGACTACAGGTGCTAGAGTGAGTAGGTGTATGGATTTTTCTGTGACCATAAGATTCTACAAGTAATGCAGAATTTTTCAGATTTCCTTCACTCAAGAAAGGAACCTTCTTCTAAATTAATCATACTCTTACTAAAATGTAAACAACTGTTCTTCCTTTTCTCACACCATTCTGTCAGCATTATTTACCATACACAAATACAATGAATAATAGGACAAACAGCTATTTATGTCTTTATACAAAAGATCTTGGAGCTAAGGGGAATTTCAGAACCCCTTAATGCTGTTGGATATTTTCAAACCCATTAGGTTTTCATTAAGTCAACCTGCTCCTGTGGCTTTGAGGAAGAAAGGTTTTTGATTGCACAATATGGAGATTAACACAAGAATGAGCAACAGAACAAGTGCCAGAGGTAGAGAGTAGATGCCTAACAAAAGCAGCCTAACAGCGAGCACTTACCCAGTCACTAGCGTTCAAGTCTGTTTACCACATCCCGGACGGTGGCTATAAGGTTCTCGTTCTCCTGTGGGTTAGCCATAATAATACTGTGCAGCCTATTCATGTAGGAATCAATAGTTTCCATTGTGGGTGTTTCCCCACTACCTGTGGTTAACATAGTAAAATGAGCTACAGAATAGTTAAATGACCGCAGCAATTCCAAAAAGTTAAGACTGTGCTAAGGGAAATTTGTGCCAACGTGCAACCTGCTATAGGAGGTGATTTTGCCACGCACCACCTCTTTGTGACAGATTCTGTAAAACTGTGTCCTCCTGACTCACAAAGTGAGTAGTTCCAAGGATACCAGGACTAAAGAAGCATGGTTTTCTTTGATTTGGGTCTCATAGTTGGTCAAACTCTTTTGGCTGGGAATTCATAGCATCTAAGTGGATTCCCTGGCATCTGAAAAGCCAGATGCAGCCTTTCTTTTAGTCAAGAACTTGCAGGTCCCGTCTTTCTATTTAGTAACATTTTCACAAAACAAGTGAAGGAGAGCAAGGACTGAATACATGACCCACTTTATTAAGGAAAAGAAGAGTAAGAGTAGTAAGAAAAAAATGCCATGTTGAAATAAAGCACTCACAGTGAACCTTGCCCTGCATGCATTTTAAGATTTCAGTATCTAATACAACAAAAGATCAGAAACAGCCAAGACCACAGAACTACAACAGCAGGCCACATGTTGTAAATTCACAGCATCATGTAAACATTAAAAGTTAAATTTAACATGTCAGACAGTCACATAAGGAAAAAAAGTCTTACCTGGTAGCGGAACTCCAGCAAAGCTGGATGTGAGTGCTTGGCGTAAGGTCTCAAGATGCTGTTGCAGCACTGTGTTGCGGCTCCGCTCTTGTATCACATCCACCTCCAATTTCTCCACTGCAGTTCGCATACTCTCAACATGTTTCTGCAGAGCAGCATTCCTCTCCTCAAACTCCATGTTGGATTTACGCAGCTGCCGCAGCTCAGCTTCACGTGCTGTGAATATCAAGCCATTTCCATGTAGTCAAAAAACTATCTATGATTGGTAGGCAATGGTAGGCAGAATGTTCTAGAGTGGTCAACTGACGACTACAAATGGTGCACTTCTGGTTTATAGATTAAAAAGCATCATATAACGGAGTGCCGATAGTGCCTACAGGAGTATCTAAATAGACTTAATTTCTGGAGAGATAGATAAATTAGAAGACATTCAAAACATCAGAATGGAAACGAATAGAGGAACTGATTAGGAAGACTGCAAGACTGATTTCAAATGCATTCCATATAAAATAGCTTAGCAGCAGTGTGGTAAGAGGCCTACAGACAAGACACAAGTTACAAAAATACATTTCTACTGATCATCAGGAAAAGTATCTGAGTCTGAAGTCTGTTCAGTAAAAGTTTCCAGAAAATCTGTCAAAAAAATCCTAAACTCTTGGGACATGCAGCTACCAAAACCAGGCTAACAGAAAATGTCAGTGGAACCTTGCACATATCCAGAGGAAAAAAAATATACTAACTAGCCTGAATCATCATCATGCTACAACTTAGATATTTCTTAACCCTATAGAACAGCAGGACCCAGCTTGGAATGGCTGGAATAATAGTAAGTGGGGCTTAAACATCAGAAACATTCTCCAGAAAGGACAGTTTTGGAAGACAAAGCCAGGAAAAACTGGCAAGGGCTCTTCAGCTGGACAGGACCTGGCAAAACCTTTGGAAAGCAAAGAGGGGGCCCTGCAAAAGTTTAACTTACCTTTACTATGATTCAGGAACTCTTCGGTGAAGATTGGAATATCAAAAACAGATCTCTCCTTTGTATCTGCTTCCTTCTACAAAAGAAAGAGTAATACATAGCTAAATACTGTCCGTTTTCAGGAATTCATTAAACTGTTTTGATCAAGAAAACAGCAAGAGAAGGGAGACCAAAAACTGATGCAGATGAAGAGGTGGACAGATGGAAGATATTTCCAGCTCCTACCAAGAAGGACCAAAAGGCAAGTCTCAGCTTTTTAAGATATAGGTTTAATAATGGTCAAATACCATAATTAAGAAATATCATAACACACTAAAATACACCATTTCCCCCTAATGACATTACACAACAGAATCATCCCACTTTAAAACTATCTGAATACATTTATATTTTCCATTGGAAAGCATTCCACCATCAACCAACCGACACATTCTGAAGTAGCCTATACAGGATTATCAACAAAAAGGGGATAAAATGAGCAAAATGCAAAGCGAGTTCCATGGTTCTTTGTCTTTCACTACCAAAGCGAAAAAGAAAACAGCCAGGAAAAAGAACAGCTAAAGGAAAAATAAGCATCTTTTCCACAATCTACCAATTCTACACATCTGTTTCAAACTGGAAAAGATGTCTTTTTTAAAACATTTAGATGGATGCTGCCACTAATTAAAAGAAAGTGTATAATATGATTTGTGAGAATCTGGGGGGAAACCTGCTTACAGAATATGTAGCATCTTGGAAGGATAAAGGTGAATATGTATAGGCACATTTTGCTGTTAGAAACCAGTCATTCATTCACCCTGGCTATTGCAGGTATGCATTAATGTGAGGAGGGCTTCAAGGAACTGGACTGTTGTCTCCTGCAAATTGCAAAACCAAACACTGCAAAATTTTTTCCACTTTAAGAGACAAGAGAAGTTTGTCATCTGAAGATAAACCCTGTACTCAAGGGTTTCCTGTCAACTTTCAGATATCTTCACCTAGTTTCTGATAAAGTTGGTGAATTCAACTATGTTACCTGGAAGCTATTAAAATCTAAGAGAGCATTTCAGGTGCAGAAGATCTGATGCTAATTTATGATTTGTGATTATAATAGGCTTTCTTTTAAAAAAACCCCAAACTTTTAAAGCAGGAAATGCTCTATGACTTAGTCAAAAAACCTAAAGCACTTACTTGACTCAAGGAAAAAAACTACCATAATATACTTCAGTCATCATTTCTGTATGTCAAAATCAACGGGAATTAAAGTCTGCATTGCTATTGACAAAGCCAATGCAAATTTGGTTTGATAATTGCAGCAACTAAAATCAGCCTCTTACTCAATACAGAAACAAAGTATAGCATCAGAGAGTCTCTGGGGAGAACAAAAGCTTTTCAGACCTCTCAAACACCTTGGTTCATAACGTACCATGAATTCATCCTCCAAAATTATGTAGTGTCAAATATGATTTGGTGCCCAGCAGAACATCTAAACGTTTAACAGCTGATAAGGGAATTCTGGCACCTAGGCTCAGAGTATCTTATTGATGTCTGCCACACAAGGGGGCTAAATAGGATGAGCTGAATGCTATTTGGCAGTCAACCAAGATAGACAAGAATAGATGGAACTTGAGATACTCTGTCTTTACCTGAGGAGACTGTCAATTGATTGTTTTTAAAGTAAAAGATAAGCTAAGTTTTATTGTCTGGTAGAATTACAGCTGGGAAGCTCTGTTTGCTGAGTGAGAACTCAAAGCTCACTTGGCCTGAATGAACTGAAGATACAATAGAAACAGGCGGGAGTAGAGAGAGGGGAACAAACCTTCCCCACCCTGTGAAACACAGTAGGGTGTCAGTAGGGGTTTATGATCACACACGCTTTTCACTGAAGTTTTGGTACTTGGTACAACGGGGAAAAGGTCTCAAGTGTATGTATTTAGAAACAAGAAGTCACATACACAAGTCTGCATGATGCATTCATATTTTCTGATCACTCCCTAGACAGTGGGAATTAATTTAAGCCAAAACCCAGGATCTCAACATTAATGTTAAAGACATTTTGGAAGTTATGAAGCTTGGTTAAGAAACTTAGAGGACATCCATCTTGGATGTTCTAATTCACACTTCCTGCTGCTACCTGCACGCAAAAGAGGCACTGACTTGCATCATTGCTGGCTCCTAGGGGATAGATGGCAGAGGAAAGGGTACTGTGAAGAGAAAAGGATATTCTATGTGCAGCCCTAGGATACAGGTTCTTCAATTAAAAAAAATATTAAAGCAGTTAGACGAAACTGTTCAGCTTCTGAAAGGCAACCAAGAAATGCTACTAAGCAGAGGAGTGATAATGAAAACCACCAGTGCTCTTCTATTACAGAATACTTTACCCAGGATGTAAAAGATCCTCTTGAGAACTCTGAATTACTTAAGCCACTCTGAGGTTCACTCAGGATTAAAATCATAAGGCTTTGATTACATCCTATTGAAAAGGCCGAGTCTGTTCAGGTTGCACATAATTTTGTCAACCCTCAAATCAAGAGAAACAAAATTATTGTTTCTATTATTTGCCTTAATTAAGATTGAGATGCTTCCAGAGTGTCAACAAATACCACCATCCTCACCTGGTTATTAAAACTGAGGTTGATCTTTGGAGGTTCCAGAACAAATCAGACTTGAAGTTCTTAGAGACATGGCAAAGTACAGTAAAGAGAAAGATGAGATTGGGGGGGGGGGGGGGGGGTGAGTTCCCCGGGGAAGGAGTTTAAGCTCATCCTTCCTTGTATGGTTAGGTGCAAAAAATGTAAGGAACACATAAAATAAACATACTACTTCATTAAAAAAAAAGTTCTCACAGTAGATGCTCTTCTTGTGTGCTCATACTACAGCAGCCATTTCCCTGTCTTCAAAGGTTTTAGATATTAGCAGGCAATGCCTAATTTCCCTGACATGTGTGTACAAATTTTTGAAATCTTGCCAGCAAGATGTTGTGTAACTGACTGCGTGAAGCTAGACCTACTCTGAATCATACAGCTTGAGGAAAGAAATAATAACTGAACAATGGGGAACAATTAACAATGGTTTGGTCACTGCTGATGGCAATGAATAGTTCCAGTGTATATTGCTATTTGTCATATTTATGAAACTAGGATTTGGAGGAAGAAAAATGTTCTATTTCACGCCCAGATGAGTTCACTGAGACAGTGTCTCCATGTTTTTCATGGCCTATTAAAAGTTTCCTCTCACCTTCCGAAGCCTCACTGTTTTGTTATTTTTTATTATAATTAGTATTTGAGTTGTTCATTGCAATACTTTTTGGAGGTCATGTCTATATACAATATTTAAAATTAGTTCAACACTGATTCACAGAAACTAAATCATAAACATGAAAGTGGAGTAAGGGGAGAAGGAAAGGATGCCTTGACCTTATGTTCTTCTCTCAAGCAATTATTTCATCAGATGGGACCTACTAATCACAAACACAAAAATAATAGTCAATGTGGATAAAAGAAAGCAGCAAGACAACAAAAAGTTGTTTCCAGTAACAACTTGAGTACATACTTCTAAAAGCAATCAATCTTTTCTGCTCATTCCTTGCCTGTGCAGGATTATAATACTTGACTCCCTTGCAGAAAAGATGTGAAAGCATATCAGTTGATAAGCAGATGGAATTTTGTAATATAAAGGTGAAAAATGCTAAGCAGTCAAAGGTGCAGGCTTTCAGAAGAGGATGCCTGCCTAACATATTGCTAGCTCAACTATGTAAAAAGCTATCTGATGAAGCTTAAAAGCCCCACAGGGTAGGGAGGGCTCCTGCATTTATGACACGAGATTTTAGCAATGATAGCTCGAGTTAGAAGGATGAGAGGTAACACTCAGAATTTGTAGTTTGCCACCTGGATAATTTAAAGGCTATGTAAACATCATAGTCAACCTAGGACTTGAAGCCTTCAGTAATCTGCTTTTGTACAATTAAACTTTGATTCAGTGACTAGAGCATCAGAAACCCTGGGGACCACGTAGTTCTAAAGATTACTCTTACTGCAAGTAGTTCCTTTAAGAGTTAATAAAAAGACATATCGAAAACATGCTACCAAAGCATTTTCCTAGAAGTGAAACTAATTTTCCTTAAAGTAGACAAGACCACTAGTTGCCTCTCAGCAGTGCACTGCCTTGTCACTGTTGTAATGAACACATTAAAAAACAACTTGATTGCTTTCCCAAGGCAAAAAAACCTCACAAAGAAAAACAGATCTTTCAGAAAGGCCTATTGCTTACAACTGAAGAGGCTGTGTATAAACAAGATTTTTCATTGCTTTTTGCTTGCAATTTATTGGTAACCGTGACAGAAGCTCTCTGGCCCTAGGTAATACAACTGGAGAGAGAAAGTTTAAGCATTTCAAGGGGAGAGATACCATAGTTAGCTGGGATGGACAAGATTTGCAATATGTCTCATCAACTAAAGCGCAGTCATCTTATCTCCAGACATTATTACGCTTTTTCAATGTTTACATATGCAAAAGGCAGGGAGGACAGGAGGAGGTTTAAGCCAGAGATCTCCCAATGATTTGTTCACTTTACCCATTTTCTTCTCAAGGACACCACAAGCATTCATGTTGCTGCAGAAAATCAGTACCTCAAAACAGCAACCTAAAGGTGCCAACCTGGAAGATTTATCTGGGTCTCAAGCTATTTGCAAGTTTTACCTCAATGTTTACTTACCAAATAATAATTAAAATTCTCTACTTTCAAAAATTTCAAAGTAAAATTTTTGCAAATTGAACCTCTAACACCCAGATATTTAAGGGCTCAATTACATTGACTTGCAGCCATTGATTTATTTAACATTACAAAACAGATTTATGTTTTAAGTGTACTCTACACTCACACTTTATCTTAGATAATTTGTACCTGCCTAAGACTTACTAAATTTAGTTTTCATCATACTAATATGAGCAGAAGAGTACTCAGTTGCTTCTAACTTTTGATCAAAAACTGCATAGGAAGAAGAATTCCTACTCTAAACCTCTGATTAGGGTCTTGAACTGGCATAAACTGTTTTTTATTGACTTCACTAGAAATTTTCATTATCTGAAAATCTACCCACTGATGTAAGGGTAGAATGGAGAGGTTTACCTCATGATCATGGGCTGGCTGTCTTGTTCCATCTGAAAAAAGAAAAAACAAACAAGAAATCACCCAAAATACACAAGATTTGAAAAAACAAGAACCAAAGAATTAAAGCAGTTACACCACCATAATTACACAACAGTAGTAGACAGAAAACTTGTGCAGCTTTCCTAAATAAGTCACACAAAAGCTTTGATGCCTTTAATGCACATCCGCCAACACAATCTAGATACAGTTAAATTTACATAAATCTAATCACTTTACACACAGCTGATGCAAATGCCATAGAAAGAACCCATTCACTTTTTAACAAGCCTTTAAATGAAAGGCTTTAAACGAGCGTCAGGCTACACAACTAGCTAGGAATCTTTTGTTGTTCTCACTAAGCAGATTTTTTTATCCCATTCAATACCTTGTCTGTGTGATTTGCCTTTTTGTCTGTCCTGTGCTATTGTAGGCTTCAGTCTTCTGATACTGCTCCAGCTCCCGCATATAACGCTCCTTATCTCTGTCTGCTTCATCAAGGTATCGCTGAAACAAAAAAGTCCAAGAGTTTCAGGGAGTTTCCTCCCCTTCAGGAGGAAGGGAAGAAAAACAAGTTGTCAGATGAAGCGCTGATCCATTTCACCTACGCAAACAGGAAAGGAGTGAAGAAACAATGAAAACGTACGTGAGATGCAAAGACATAACATTTCTGGATAAACTTACTGTATTCTCATGTCCCTTTTTCTTGTTTGTGGGTTTGTTTTCTTTTTAATTCAAATCACTATTCTGTTAACTCTTTTTTGTTAGACCTAGAAGCAACCTGCTACTAAGCTATTCAACTCAACTGAGTATTACCTACCAAATGGTTAAGAATTGCCTTTCTGTGGTCAGGAATTAATGCCAACAAAGAACACCTTAACAGACCATGATTTAAGGTTCAGACCTCTAACGGTGGGGTTCCAATACACTCTTGTTTCCATGCCATACAGACATTCTACAACCACACACTCTGCCCATCTGAGAGGTGAACAAAATATCATGGCTATTGGAAAAGAGTAGCATAAAGATAAAACAGCCTAGGTTATATGAATTTAAGCTACCTGCATTTAGATTGAAATAATTTTTTTTCTTCTAGCCCGAAGATATTTCACTTATCTGCATAACAGAATGAGCTTAACTAGAAAACTCTTTAGGGGAACTGATGAACTGAAAACCATTTAAGGACCGGTCACAACACTTACTAATGTGACCCATTCAAGAAAAAAGTTGTCTTTGCAACTTTTTTCCCCAATAAGTTTAAAATTCAATGGAAGTAAATATTAAATCAGTGTGCACTTTAGTCCACTGGTATGCCTTTTATTTTCATTAAGTAACCACGACAATAGAGGTAATGGTTACAAATTCCATGCATTTGAAACATTGTTTTGACCCTGCTGAGGACACTGTTAATGTTCTGGATTGGGGTGCAAGTTTGGTTATGCCGGGTTTGCATTGCTTTTGGACATCGTATTCTTCCATATGACATTAATTCTTTTCTTCCATCTCTAGCAATTTGCTGCTGAAAGAGTACAGTAGATGAATTAAGAACACAACAAGTTTTTCCTCCTTAGCCTGTGTTCCAGGCGGATTGTTTTGAATCAGCAAGAATGAGTTCTGCTGCACCACATGTAGGCAAATGTCCTGGGTTTTCTAGCACAGATTTATACATCTCATTAGATATTTCTGCATACAGGGGAATAACAAGAAGAATGATTGCTATGGTGTTTGCTTTATGACTACAGTAATGGTCTTTCTCTGGGGGAGACTCACAATTTGGTCAGTCCAGTCAGCTCAACTGACCTGGCCTTATGCTCACCAAATACAAAGGGCAGTACCAAGACTACAGTGCTGGAACAGGGGAAATGTGAGACTTTCCCTTCAACTTTTATATCAGACTGATAGTTTGCTAACATTGCTGGAGATCAGCCACACCAGACATGCTTTTCCCCTGGATTATGTGATGCTAACCCACACAGCAGTAGAATACTATGACTCCACTGCTTGCTTCAGGAGAATTACTTCATAGCTGTTAGCTAACTAAAACCAAGCTTACTGAGCTTCAACAAGAATTTTGGACTGTTGTATTAGAGACATGGGTTCTGAAGCAGCAGAAGCCTTCACTGCCTTAATAAAATAGGGCAGAAGAAACTGAAGGGAAGGAAGCACTCAGCAGTTTTTGCCTGACCTGCTACATGTCAGAGACTCACAGCTTTACTCAAAAATGACAGATTCCCTGGGGATTTAGGAAGTAGCACACAGAATAGAGATCTGAACTCAAATCTCATTTTCCTAGGTTAAAAGTCTGTCTCAGACATTATGAGACTATGTTAACGGCAGGGGGTGGAGGGGCAGAATGTCTTATTCTCTTTCCCCCTCTCTCAGCAGACAGCAACATCATTCTCACAGCAGATGCGGCATCAATTCAACTGCTTTGCCTTGACACGCACTTTCCATTATGGTTTAAAATGCTATGCCTATGCACCATTTTATATCTCCCTATAACTTGTATTCTACAAGCTTTGTAAAAAGCAACAAAAGGAACTATTCTTTTTTGCATCATTCTATTTTTCATACAGACATCACAAAAACTTTTAAGTATTATTTTGTCTTTAAAGTATCCTCAAAAGCTTAATGTCCTGATAAATTCATATGATAGCATGAAATTGCGCTGTGATTTAACTACTGCAATCAGCAACCAGGTGTGGATAGTAAGACACTCATTAGCAATAATAAGGTCCACTCCAGGAGGAGTCAGAACCAGACCCAACGTTGCCTTGGTCTTTGTTCCCGTATCAGACAGTGCAGAAGGCCACAGTAGTCCCAATTAGAACACATCACACTGACTGAAAGGTGGAAAAAACCCCTTTTCCTGAGGAAATGTGTTTAGAAACTAGAATATGTAACTCTCACTGTCCCATCCATCATACAGATCTTAACTTTCTTTCTAGTGCTAGCAATACTTAAAAAAGATTGTCTACAAGTTTACTGATGTTAACCATCTCCTTCAGTAACCTGTCCTTTCAGGTCTGCTTGTCTTAATCTAAGCCACCAGACGTTCATACACATTGGTGAGTTTCTAAAATAAACAGAACTGTAAAATCCTTCAAGCAGCTCTGAAATCCCACCAAATTCTCCTCAGCGACACTGAAGAAACGGCTGCACCATCCTTCCAATGGTTTGGCCTTGGAAACTGGTAGGTTTCAGCTGTATCTGAGTTACTTAATACATCCAGACAAATAGCATAAACCATGAGATGTCTCACTACAGCATTGCCCCCTGTTTTGAATATATTCTTGCACTATCTGGAGGACACAGTTCTTCTCAAGTCACACCTGAATGAGAAGTTACCGCCCTGCGGTTCATTATTTGAACTCTAGAGGACTTGTGTCCCTTATTTTGAAATATATTCCTAAATACAACTTTAATCAAAAGCCTATCTTAACTTCCTCACTAAACAGCAATATTCCCATTTAACAGTAATCATAATCCAACAAGGAAAAGGGAGTTTAATGGTACCCGTTTCTCCTCAGGAGGCAGTTTACTCCATTCATTGCCCAGCATCCTGGTGATCTCTGGGAAAGGAACTTCAGGCCTCTTCGCTCGAAGCTGCTCCCTACGCTCATTCATGAATCGCACATAGCCTGTAAGGGGGGATTTAGGGGCATTGGTGTCCCTAAGAGGTTTCTTCCTCTTTCTCCCTTTGGCCCAGCCTCCTCGTTTAGTTCTTTGCTGCTGCAAAATGAAAATGGAAGAAAATTCAGATTGAAGGAAAAGAATTACCACCTCTGGAAGGAATAAATATTCACGTCTCAAACATTTTTATCAGGGGTACGTTACTGCAACACATTCTCTCCACGCGTGTAAGCTTCTAACCTTATTTTAGAGCAATCCTGACTTTCCTCTAAGCAAAGCCAAACAAGTCTCATTGTGAAAGTTGTTTGCAGTATCTCCTGGCCCACAGAGACAATAAAACAACATTTCTATCAACTTCTGATTGTAAAACCATGGGGATTGATAACCCTTGAAATTATCCTAGCTAATGCAACTGCAAGTTTTTTTTTGTTTGTTTGTTTGGTTCACTGTTTGTTTGGTTTTATTTTGTTTTTAAGTTATTCTCACCCTCACGTACCCTCCCCTCCAGTCATTCACCAGTCATGTTTGGAGAAATTTTGTGTATTAGTTAACAACTGTTAATTAGTTATTTTGCCCTTTCCAAAACTTTTGCCTTCGTGGATTACATGCCCAAAATGTGGGTGAAAGGACAGTATATAGCCTTTTCTTCCCGATCTATTCTATAGGCTTTCCCACTAATTGCCGCCAATAGAGGGATGAACAAATTCCAAAGGAGGGAACATTGTAAGATCTGCCTGTGGCACACTCAGCTCACAGAATGACATAATTCATAGAATGGCCTGGGTTGAAAAGGATC